CACTGCACTCCAGTCTGGGTGACAGAGTGAGACTCCAACTCAAAAAAAAAAAAAATGAAGCTAGAAAAGAAGAAAACATGAGGTATTTTTCAAGTCTTGCATTAGAAAATCTTCATATGCAAGGCATAAGCACAGGAAAACAAAGAAAAACATTAATAAATCTGACTACATACAAATATTTTAATTACTTATGGGGAAAACACATTGTTAGCAAAATTTGGAAACATGCAATTATTTCTATAAACTTATTTATTTAATGCAGATAGTAAAAACTTAAACACTACAAATATGTAGGCAATGAAAACTGTTTTCCTCTCACTAAAGCTCCTCCTTGCTCCCTAGTCTCCCAGTACATCTTCTTTAGTTTCTCCTGTATTCTTCAGGCAATATTCTGTGTATCTATAAGCACTTGTGCACACACATGTACACACAAAGTCACATATATATAAAGATTTCTCTACATCACTACAAAGAATCTGCCTCATCCTTTTTCATAATGTACTTTACCAGTTGTTTTATTATTATTATTATTATTATTATTATTATCATAAACAATGATTGTCCTCCTTCTTTGCCCACATGGCCTGGTATATCTTCAGGATGCATGACTTACAGTGGAATTTATGGATAAACATAAAGTTACAACATGTCCCTTCATAGAGGTAGCTCCAGTGATATATTCAAGTGGAGATTTAATGAAGACAGCTAGAAAGATGAGCCTAGTGCTCAAGGAAGGGATAAAAAAAATTGGCACATAATTTGGAGGGAATCAGCATAGAGCTGGTTTGTTAAGGCCATGGGGTTCAATATATTACCTAGAGAGAGAGAAAATCAAGAGACCTAAGTGAGAATGCTTGAGTTCCTCAACATTTAGAGGCAGGAAAGGAAGAGGGAGACAGGAATAGAAACTGAGAGGAGGCAGTCACTGATATGGAAGAAAATTCAAGAGATCATGGTGTTCTGAGAGGCAAATGGACATGGGTCTCAAAAAGAGAATTTCAAACTTTGTCAAATGTTGTAAGAAGCAGAGTAAAGCGATTGTTTGAATTTGGAAAGAATAAAAGCCAGATTCCAAGACTGTGGAGAAAAAAGGAGTTGAGCAAGTAGGGAGGGTTAAGCATAGAAAACTCTTATAAGGAATTTCACTGTTAAGGGAGCAGTAGATGAAGAAGAGTAAGGGATGCTTTTTCAAAGTTGAGATATACCTATATCTCAATAGTCTGATAGTCCAGAGGGAGTGAGGGGGATGACACGGGCCTTGAGCAAGTGAGAGACATGAGATGTGAGAGGCATAAAGGCAGAATATGGTGTGGACTTGCAAATATGTTGGGAACTTAAGGGTGGGGCAAAGAGGAGGTTATTTTTGTGAGCTATTCTATATTCTTAGTAAAATAAAAGACAGCTCATCAGCAGAGCATAAGGAGGAGGGGGGAAGAGTCGGAAGTTGAAGGAGAGAGGAGGAAGTGAGAAATAGTAGTCTGGATACTGAAGGAGTAGACTAAAGTCCAGAAACAGAAACATGGCAAGATTTCTGGGCAGGACCAGGCTGGGACTCATGGATCTCTGGGGGGATGGGTAAGTATGGTTGTGTGTTTTTTTTCCTGCCAGGTTCAGCTGGTTGGGTGCAAGTACAGAGTAATCTGCAAATTGGATCTATTCAGAGTTGGGGTTTTCCCAGTCAAGTACAATGGGGAGAGGGAGGTATTCAGGGTATCTACAAGGGAGTAGTTAGATGGATGGGTGTAAAATCTAAGCTGACTAAGTTGAGAAGTAAGGACATGACACAGGTAATGGGCAGTAAATATGTAAGGTCAGTGATTTGAAGGACTGGGTAGGGATAGAGACCGAATTGGAGTTTCAGGACAAAGGAGCTCAAAAAGTAGGAATTGGGGTTCATGATGTTGGAAGTGATAGTTATTAGTAATGACAAGGTCTAGGTGATGACCACCCAGGTGACATATGGCTGACAGCTACCATTGACCACACCTGTAACACAGAGCTTGAGGAGTCTAAACAGAAGTGCCCACCCTGCTTGACCAGTTTGGCTCAGAAGTATCTGATCTGGGAGTGCTGTCCCACATGGGTGAAACTGAAGACCATTCTCTTTGGACTTGTGACGGACCCCTTCACGGAGTTGACCATCACCTTGTGCATCGTGATAAACACAGTTTTCATGGCCATGGAGCATCACGGCATGAGCAGCACCTTCGAGGCCATGCTCCAGATAGGCAACATTGTGAGTGTTCCGGAGGGCACTGCCCACACTGGCATGGCTGTAGGGGCTACCGGTGGGGGGGTGGGCGCGTGCCTTCATTCGTTGGTGTGTCAAGCCAGTTAGTTGACAGCAGAGTGGCAGTGCGGGAGATGTGTGGACACTGAGTTCTGAAGGTCAAGTCTGCAGGACCCGGGCTGAGCTGGTGGGAATTGCTTGGGCATGAACAAGCACAGGAAAGTGGATCAAGAGAGCCCCAAGTCAGAGGCAGCTAGTTGCCCTTCACAGAACATGGGACGGCCACTTAAATTCTCTGGATCTCAGTTGCCTCTACCTTGAAATGAGGATAAATGTCATGTTCCCATCTAAAGACAATCTATGAACTTATAAGATTCCTTCCAGCTTAATTACTTGTATGGCTGCAATTAACAGTCGCCTTGATTTTCAAAGCTGTCACTCAAGGTCAGAAAAAGTGGGGGAAGGAAGGAGAAGAAAGTGGGAAGGAGGGAGTCAGAACTTCTCTTTGGCACCTAAGGTAAACACGATGCCACTTAAAAATTTCCCACACTATTTGTTAATATTATTTGGAGGTGTTTTTTTTTTTTTGGTTTGGTTTTGTTTTTTGAGGCAGAGTCTCACTCTGTTCCCAGGTTGGAATGCAGTGGCAAGATCATGGCTCACTGCAGCCTCAACCTCCTGGGTTAAGGCGATTCTTCTGTCTCAGCCTCCCAAGTAGCTGGGACTATAGGTGCACGCCACAATGCCTGGCTAATTTGGGAAGTTTTTTGTTTTTGTTTATTTGCTGTAGAGACGAGTTCTCACTATGTTGCCCAGGCTGGTCTTGAACTCCTGGGCTCAAGCAATCCTCACACCTCAGCCTCCCAAAGTACTAGGGTTACAGGCATAAGCCACCACACCCAGCATTATTTGCTTTTAACAAGACACAGTATCCATACTGGATTTTACTACCTGCTGAATAAAGTGTCTGACTCAGAAGGAAAGCAACTGCCCAACCTTTCCCTACCCACAGGAATAACATAGCCACCTTTATTTGAATACTTACTCAAGGCTAGACATGGTCTCAGATGCTTCTCATCAATTAACTAATTTTATTTTCACAAAAATTTTATATAGTAGGTACTATTATTGTCCCCTATCAGAGACAGAAAAACTGAGACACAGAAGGTTAAATAATTTGCCCAAGATCATAGAAGAGAGTAAGAGGCCGCACCAGGATTTGAAACCAGATTAACTGTCTCCTGAACTCATATTTCTTTTTCTTTTTCTTTTTCTTTTCCTTTTGATTCAGATTCTTACTCTGTCACCCAGGCTGTAATGCAGTGGCACACTCATGACCACAGCCACGACCTGTTGGGTTCCACTGATCCTTCCGCCTCAGCCTTCCAAGTAGTTAGAACTACAGGCGTGCACCACCACGCCCAGCTAATTTTTTTATTTATTGTAGAGACAAGGTCTCGCCAAATTGCCCATACTGGTCTTGAACCCCTGAACTCAGGCAATCCCCTCACCTCCGCCTCCCAAAGTGCTGGGATTACACCGTGCCCAACTCTGAACCCACACTTCTTAACCCTGGGCTAAACTACCTCACAGGACCTGCTACAGCTTGTGTGAGAGTGTGTATGAGAGTCTGCATGTGTGTGTCAGTGTACAGTGCCATTTTTTAAAAAGAAAGGCATGTATTTGGTGCCTACGGTGAGCCAGGTACTTTATGAATGTTATCTGAGTGTCACAACACTATGATGTTAGCATCACTCTCACATCACAAAAGAGAGTGCTATGACTCAGAGGGGTTAAGTGTCCTGCCCAAGTTTGAACAGCTGGTGAGGGTGGAACCAGAGTTGATCCAGGTCTCTGGAAGGCACAGGACCTCAACCCCACTCCATACAGACTTGCTTACAGAGGGCACTCAGTAGATGCTCTTTGAGTTACATGGTGACAGTCTTGAGGCATTAGGCAAAGTCACTTAAACTCTCCAGCTGTTTTCTTCTCCATAAGAGGGACGCAGCTGTCTGTTTTCCAGGCTGGTGAGCGACTTGGATGAGAGCATGTGACCTTGGTCTTTGTTTTCCCTCTCTCCTACTGATTGTTGTGTGGTCTGAGCCTGTTTCTGACCTTTCTCAACGTCAGAATTCTGTCCTATTTAAGACAATGAAAGACAATGACAGCTGAAAAGAGTCTTAGAGACAATGTATTATTGTTCTTGAAAAATCACTATTATTTATTAGTAAATTATTATCTACTGGGCCCTTTGCTAAGAACTACACATGCACTAGCTCATTTCATGCCCATTATACAGAAGAGGAAATCGAGGTACAGGAAGGATACATTACCTGCTCAAGTGTACATAAGCTAGGAAACGGCTGAACTGATCGTTTTGTCTGGGTCTGTGTTGTCCCACAATCCATGTTTTAAAACTACTGAGTCAGGCGGGGCACAGGGTCTCAGCCTGTAATCCCAGCACTTTGGGAGGCCAAGACGAGATGATTGCCTGAGCCCGGGTTCGAAACCAGCCTGGGCAACTTGATGAGACCTTGTCTCTACAATAAGTCACAAAAATTAGCTGGGCATGGTGGTGTGTGCCTGTAGTTCCAACCACTTGGGAGGCTGAGGCGGAAGGATCACCTAAGTCTAGCAGGTCAAGGCTGCAGTGGCCATGATCATGCCACCCAGCTCCAGCCTGGGCAACAGAGTGAAACTCCAATGCAAGAATAAAATAAATAATGAAAACTACTGAGCCAGACTGACTCCTCACTGATATAATTATAATAATAATTATCCTAATGATTATCCACTTACTCCCACTCCCACCACTATTCACATGGAAAAACTGAAGCATGAGTTCTAACGCACATTTCCTGAGCATTAATTCAGAGACGTCTCCGTTCTGCCACACTGATTCCTCCCATGGTCAAGCCTCAAGAGCCTACAGAAACTATAGAAACTGTATAAAAACAAGATAAGATTTGCTGTGCTGTAAACAAGACATTTTCTTGCTTACGCTTTTGTCATTGCCCCCCAATGCCACAGACTCCACGGTGATGAAATCTTGTTTCCATACCCAGGTCTTTACTGTATTTTTTACGGCTGAAATGGTCTTCAAAATCATTGCCTTCGACCCCTACTATTACTTCCAGAAGAAGTGGAATATCTTCGACTGCATCATTGTCACTATGAGCCTGCTGGAGCTGGGCGTGGCCAGGAAGGGAAAACTGTCGGTGCTGCGGACCTTCCGCCTGGTAATGTTTCCTCTTGGCAACATGGGGGCAACTCCCACTCGGTTCCAGGAACACTCACCCCTGGAGTGGACACTGTCCTCAGGGAACTCCACCAGCCAGCACCCTCTTCCTCTCCTGTCCTTGTGGGAGGGAAGCAGGGCACGGCTCCTGGGAGCCTGGTGACTTGAGTCTGCACCCCCAGCTTTTCATTGTCTCAAAGTGAGAATGTGCCTTCTCCTCTCTGGGCCAAGGTCCCCTCGTCTGCACCAAGAGGGGGCTTCCAAGCATTGTTCTGTTCTCTTATCAAATAACAACTCTAATCACAGCAGCTGATATTTGTTAAGCATTTATAGTATGTCAGGCATAGGCTAAATTCGTAATGTAATGTACCTCATTTTATTCTCACAGCAATCTGTGAAAGAGTTCCTTTTAACATTTCCCTGGTGGGTAGATAAGTAAAACTGAGCCCCAGATGGTTAAATGATGGCCTTAAAAGTCTCCCAGCTGCTGAGCACACACACAAACCACAGACCTGGATCCCAAATCCAGGTTGCCTGACTGCAGGGTCCCAGCTCCTTCTCACCTCAAGGAAGTCATCCTCCAATTCCCTGGTGACCCAAATCACAGCCTTGTTGCCTCATGCACCCCCAAAACAGTCTCCTACTAGCCTCACATGCCCGGCCAGCTCTTCCCCAAACTCAACTCCAGGACGCCCTCTACAGGAGATATGCCCGCAGGCCACCGGCTCTTACCAGAATCACATTCCATCAGATTCCCAGGAGGAGAGTCTGGGGTCATTAGGGTTCTCTCAAGTCCCCAGGTCATCTAGGGGAAGCATGAAGTCTCTCTGATTCTTGTGAGTAGGCAAGAGGCCTGAAGAAATGCCATGGTTTGTTAACACAGGCATCTTGTCCTCAGGATTCTCTCAGTGTCTAGCTTTGGAGAGAGGTGTCAGAATGGAGAGTGCCCAGTGATCTCTCCAAATGCCAGCTGGAAGGCTCTGACAGGTATTGGGCACCCAGAGGCTGAAGAGGTCATGCAGTTCAGGGAAGAAGTGAGATGCTAGAACAGAAAGTCTGCTGGGACCCCATCGTGGGGGCCAGTAAGATGCCGCTGGCCCCTGGACTTGGCTTACCTGAATTAGGGGTGGCAAACTCAAATGCCTACAGGCAATGAGACAAGCTGACTGAAGAAGAGATTTCGGCACTGAATTTTTGCCTTGGTAAATAGGCAGAGACAACTCAGTTCTACCAAGACAGACTCAATGCAGTGCAGAACTCCAGGAAGGGGAATTTACATAAAAATCAATATGACTGTGCCAAAGAGGTGGCCTGTCCATTATTGTCAGAGTCTCCAATTTTTCCTAAAAACCACAAATCCAGATTTATTTTGATGTAATATTTTCTATATTGCCTAATTCAATTTTCTTTTTTTTTTTTTTTTTTTTTTTGAGATAGGGTCTCACTCTGTCACCCAGGCTGGAGTATAATGGCACAGTCATAACTCACTGCAGCCTCAAACTCCTGGGCTCAAGCAATCCTTCCACCTCAGCCTCCCAAATAGCTAGGACTAGAGAGGCACACGCCATCACATCTGGCTAATTTATTTTTTACTTTTTTATAGAGATGGAGTCTCACTGTGTTGCCCAGGCTGGTCTCAAACTCAGGTTCAAATGATCCTCCCACCTTGGCCTCCCAAAGTGTTGGGATTACAGGCATGAGCCACTGTAATCAGTCCAATTTAAAAAACAAAACAAAACAAAACAATCTCTCCAAAAGCCAAATAAAGAATGTCCAGTTACTTGGAAGGCTGAGGCGGAAGGATTGCCCAAGCCCAGCAGGTGAAGGCTGCGGTGGCCATGAGCGTGCCACTGCACTCCAGCCTAGGCAACAAGAGTAAGACTCCAACTCAAAAAAAAAAAAAGATGTCCCGAGAGACATTTCTGCCATGAACCAGCAGCTGATGGCATCTGCCCAAGCTAATAGTGCCCCCACCACCTCAGAGGGGAGAAGAGCAGAAAGAGCCTACAGGACTCTAATCCATAACCTGGAACTTTTAAACGATCAGAATTAAATCAGAAATTAGAAGGATAGATTTCTCTAAGTATCTAGAAAATAATGACATGAGGCCGGCATCTAAACTAATGGCCATTGTAAGACATCTATACACAGTCCTCAAGGGAACAAGATTCCATACCTCCTATGCCCTGGGAAGGCCTACAGTTAGTTTTCTAATAAAATGAACATATTTGGTTATTTGGGGAAAGAGAATCTTGGTGTTTTAAGGTCTGTGTGTTACTTTTTTCTGATCTCATGAAGTCTAAAGTCACAAACAGTGAAAAATAGACAGATTTACTTCACCACCTGGGCCTACAGAATTCTCCAGGTCCATGCCCGCCATTCCTACCTTCCTGATCTTAACATACTGATCCACTCAAAATTCCCTAACCACACCCATTAACCACACACTTTCTTGGGATCTATTCTACTTCCCTCATGACCTGGATTAGATTTCAATATTATTAGGCCCTTGAAAACAAAACTCAATCACCTTTCTCCTTTGCCCATTTCTATTTTGGGCAAAGCCCTACCCCAATGGAAGTCAAATATTAATCTCTGCCATGCCTCCACCTGAGCTGTGGGACATTATTGGAGAAAAAGCACCCAGTCCAGCTGCTCAGTTTCACGGTTTCATAGACATTATTTCTCAGGACAGTTTTAGAGTTTCAAAAACTTGAGCAAATAGTACAGCTTTCATATACCACTGCCCCTTCTTCCCACAAAACACACATACACAAGGTTTCCCTTATTATCAACATCTTACATTAGTACTGTAAATTTGTTTGTTTGTTTGTTTGATTGTTTGTTTGTTGACTTGGAATCTCACTCTATCACCCAGGCTGGATTGCAGTGGCACGCTGCTCACAGCTACCACACCTCCAGGTAACTGGAGCCACAGGCATGTGCCACTACACCCGGCTAATTTTTTTATTTATTGTAGAGATGAGCTCTTGCTATGTTGCTCAGACTGGTCTTGAACCCCTGAGCTCAGGCAATCCTCTCACCTCTGCCTCCCAAAGTGCTGGAATTACAGGCTTGAGCCACTGCGCCCGGCCAGTACTGGAGCTTTGTTATAGATAACTCTTCAGCGGTTTCCCACTGCTTTGAGAATAAAATCCAGATTTCTTATGATAGTTTACAAAGTTCTGTGTGATCAGCCCCTGTCCTTTTCTCCAAACAATCTCCCTCTCACCCTAGCCAGAGAGGCCTCCGCTCTCTTCCTCACACATAACAGAGCTTTTTCTTGCTTTTAAATGTGTTTGTTCTGCCTGGAATGCTTTTCCTCTAGTCTACACTTAGATCACTTGTTCACAACTTCTGGATTCAACTCACATGTTATCAAATGAACCTGTTTTTCATAGTTTACAGTCATTCTGCTATTTTAAGAGGCAAGAACCAGAGTTTACTTGTTTATCATACTACCCCCAGAGCCTAGCCCAAGGCTCAGCATATACACAGAAACTCAATAAACACCTGTTGGTTCATAGAAGGAAGGTAAGAAAGAAAGAAGGGAGGAGGGAAGAAAGAAAAGATGAGGCCAGGTGCAATGGCTCATGCCTGTAATCCCAGCACTTTGGGAAGCAGAGGCGAGAGGATTGCCTGAGCCCAGGGGTTTGAAATCAGCCTGGGCAACAGGGTGAGACCTTATCTCTACAATAAATCAAAAAATTAGCTGGGCTTCATGGCATGTGCCTGTAGTTCCAGCTACTTGGAAGGCTGAAGCAGGAGGATCATCTGAACCCAGCAGGTCGAGGCTGTGATGGCCACGAATGTGTCACTGTACTCCAGCCTGGGCAACAAAGTGAGACTCCGACTGGAAAAAAAGGAAAGAAAACAGCATTGCTTCTTCCAAAGCAGCATTGCTTCTCTTCCCAACATTTAAGGCCTTACTCCATTAGTTCATTGGTCTATTCATGAACCAGTATCATGGGCTTAGTTATTGCAGCTTTGAATATATCTGTGTCTGTAAGTCAAGTCATCCACCTTCAAGGATTCCTTGGCCCACACAATTTCATATTTATTTTTGGATCATCTTGCCAAGTTACACACCCACATACACACAAAATTCTTGTTTTGTTTTTTCCATTGGAACCTCTATAAGCTATAGATGAATTTGGGAAGAAATGTAATCTTTACATTATGTAGTCTTCTGCTCTAGGAAGATAGTGTACTCTTCATTCATTTCAGTCATTCAATAAAGTTTTGTGATCTTTTGATCAATATTTGTAATTTTCTCCATAAGGATCTACAATATCTTTTCAAATATCCCTTTTTTTTGGCTAGCATTTTATATTTACTGTTTTTAGAACCAGAAATGTTTCTTATTAAGTCTAATGATTTATTTACATACTGTTTTAAATATTCGAACACAATCATGTGATGTGCAAATAATAAGTTATATTAACCTGGCATGGTAGCGCGCACCTGTGGTTCCGGCCACTTGGAAGGTTGAGGCAGAAGGAACACCGGAGCCCAGCTGTTCAATGCTGGGGCGGCTGTGAGCATGCCACTGCACTCCAGCCTGGACAACAGAGTGAGACTCCAACTAATAATAATAATAATAATAATAATAATAATGATGATGATGTGTTTCTTCTTTTCTATTTTTTTTTTTGAGTTCCTCGACCTGCTGGGCTCCAGCGATCCTTCCACCTCAGGCTTCCAAGTAACTGGAACTACAGGCGTGCGCCATTACCATGCCCGGCTAATTTTTTTGATTTAGTGTAGAGATGAGGTCTCGCCAAGTTACCCAGGTGGGTCTCAAACCCATGGACTCAGGCAATCCACTCACCTCGGCCTCCCAAAGTGCAGGATTACAGGCTGAACCATCAGGCCCGGTGTGTTTCTTCTTTTCTAATCCTTATACCATTTGGATTTTTTTTCTATATTACTGTGCTAGTTAGGACATACAGCACATTGTTGAAAAGAAGTGCTAGTAGCAGGTATCCTTGTCATTTTTCT